AAATTGGCAGCTGATCTAAAAAATGATTTACTTTCTTTTGTTAACTGGGACAAGGATTGGCTTCTTCATTTTAACGCCCCCAAAACTGAAGTGCTCTTTTTTAATTTTCCGTCAGTATGGCTGATGCTGACCTTCAGTAGAGTGACTCGTTGCGCTTTCTCGGACTAACGATTTCCGCTGACATGATTATATTGAATCCATTGCTATATATTTAGAGATTCTTGATAAAACCCAGGAGGTACTGTAGAATAATGGATAGCGGCTCGGATTGAAGAATCAGAGAGCCGAGTTCGAATTCTAGTCGAATCTAAGGTATTACCAACAGCTATGGGTAAATAGCCGGACAGACCGGGGTTCTATAGCTTTGGTTGGCAACTGGTCTATCACAGAAAGAAATGGCAACCTACTACGGGAAAAAAATTTTCCTCGTCAGTCATGTATCGAAAAATACATGATCGCCTAAGCGTGTTTCACGTAACTTACTGACTGATAAAATCCAACGAAGACTCTGTAATGTTATTCGTTCTGAACTGGCATCTTTCCCTAAGTCACGTTTCCACTGCCGTAATGAAGCCTCCCTGTGCCTTTTCTATAAAATCTTTCATGGTAATTATTCTGATGAACCTTTTTTCTAAGGTACTTAGACGTTATAAATTTAAGCCTAATACTAGATTGGCGGTAAAGTTTCATCACTTTAAAATTAAAATGGCTAGATGTAACGGTAAGTTCTGTGCTAACAGTTTATCCTATTGTACTTTTCGCTTGTAGAATTCTCTTCTGGCTTCTTGCTTCCCAATCAACTTTGATTTTCAAAAACTTAAAAGTAACGCCAGTCTTTATCTACTGCCTGCTTAATTCTTGTTCTTGTAATGTTCTCTCTCATTAATAATATTTTCTCAATATTCCCTAACACTCAGTAATCCTTTACGTCCTAGTGGCTTTAGTGCAATTACCAGCGATAACTTAGTAGATGTTTACAACTCAATTTCTCGAAGACTTCAGAGATACGCTGCAACGAAAGGGTGTTTGGTTTGATTTGGTTTGGTTTGTTTTATAGCATATCAACCTCAAAGCGAGGGGAAATAGAAAAATCAGGCGTGGCTGACCACATATGGAGAGAGAAGGGAGATCACCGTCCCCTGTGGGATCATGTTGAGATCATAGACAGGGGACACCATTGGAAAATTCGAAAACTTAAGGAATCAGCACATATGCTAGGCCACAAAAATCTCCTGAGCCGACCAAGCATAGAAATAAATATAATATGGGAAGCAGTAATAAGGAATGCCAGAGAAAAGCAATGATAACAAAGTTGCAATATGAACTCTGGTAAAGACATGCAATGATAACAGCAAAATTGCAATATGAGCACTGGTAAAAAGGTTGCTGAAAACATTAGGTTTATAATACTCAGAAGCTCATACCCAGATGTCCTCAAGGACACTTGGCACAGTGGATAAAGGCGTTGGTTAGGTCCAGTAACAGACCCAAAGAATGTGAGTTCAATACCCGGTTAAGGCAGTGAAGAACTTTCAGAGGGAAAATTAGCAGGAGATAACTGATCTCCATCAAACATGGCACGTGGAACTAGAACAATCTACCCCAGTGAGCGAAATAAATCGTTCAGTTCGAAATTCCAACCACCTGAAGAAGGCCGGAGCGTACAACGGCCGAAGCGTTGTGACAAATATGGCGAGAAAGACTAGACAATATTCCGACTAATGTAAATACTGGACAATATTTTTCCTTTCAAAAATGTGTTGCTGGTATTAAAACTTATTTTTAAACTTTCATATTGTTTTGGCCCCAGTTAAGTTATTGTTTTGGAGGTTAACTATGTACCCATAGCAGGAACTCTTACAAGGGGCTACCTCTCCGGATCAGGATGAACCTGGGAACACCAGCAATTAAGAGGTAGTTCCACGCTGCTCAAAACATCCTGATCAGAGGCCTTGCTGTCGGACGTAGTTTATCGTCTTACCCAGGACACGGATGTAGTTTAACGACTTACCCACGACGGGGCGAAAGGTGGTATTTTAAAAGCATAAAAAGGCATCATTAAACATGTCGATACAATACTTCTTTCTTTTTATAAACCTTGTTCGAGGATTTATTCATTTTATCGGGATATTTTATTAAATTGAAAATGTAACTGCTACCCTCACCGTACCTGTGGTTCAAATCCAGGATTACAAATAATGATTTTTGTCAAAGAAGATAGGATTCCCGACTAAAAAGACTCTTACCAGACTATCTTGATAACTCCTCTTTCGATTATGGTATGAATACATACTTTTCACAAAGAGTATGAATACTAAGTGATCATAATCAGCTGCGGCCAGATTTCGAACACGGGTTGCTAATTCCATTTTCTGTATAGATAACCGTTATGCCACTTTGCAAGTACAGGGCGTGATGGATAAATTGTCGTCTGAATGCCGTAAAAAATGAAAATAACACTGACATCTCATTTCAACAGATATATTTACCAAAATTACACAAAAATATCTTGAAGTACTAAAGAGTAAATTTGTTCAATATAATCGCCATTGTGTTCAACCATGGCCTCCAGACGACTTTGGAATCTCCTGCGACTCTTCTGGACGGTCTCCTCGTTTAAGTTGATTAATGCTGCCGTAATCGTTGCCTTCAGTTCATCTTTGGCGTTACAAAGAGTTTTTTTGGTCTCTCGGTCAACTGCACCCCACACAATAATCAAGGGTGCTTCAGTCTAGGGAGTTAGGTGGTCAGATTTAAGGGATCATGTCTTCGCAGAAATTTTCTGACAGTCATAAATGTGTTCTCTTGCTTGTGTGGCATGGTACAGAATCCTGTTACCAGACATAGGGTCTTTCCGTAGCCAGCCTATTGACCCTTTATCGCAGTTTCTTTCTAATCTATCTATCTATCTATCTATCTATCTATCTATCTATCTATCTATCTCTTCCAATATGTTCACATCTATGTATCTATCTATGACAGTGTGATCATATCTATCTATCTATCTATCTATCTATCTATCTATCTATCTATGACAATGAGTGTTCATATCTATCTATCTATCTATCTATCTATCTATCTATCTATGACAGTGTGTGTTCATATCTATCTATCTATCTATCTATCTATCTATCTATCTATCTATCTATGACAGTGTGTGTTCATATCTATCTATCTATCTATCTATGACAATGCGTGTTCATATCTATCTATCTATCTATCTATCTATCTATCTGTCTATCTATCTATGACAATGTATGTTCATATCTATCTATCTATCTATCTATCTATCTATCTATCTATGATAGTGTGTGTTCATATCTATCTATCTATCTATCTATCTATCTATCTATCTATAACAGTGTGTGTTCATATCTATCTATCTATCTATCTATCTATCTATCTATCTATGTCTCAGTATGTTCATTATCTATCTATCTATCTATCTATCTATCTCTTCCAGTATGTTCACATCTATCTATCTATCTATCTATCTATCTATCTATCTATCTATCTATCTATCTATCTATCTATCTATCTATCTCTTCCAATATGTTCACATCTATCTATCTATCTATCTATCTCCGCTAGAAAACAACTATACAAAATCCACAAATCTCACCACCAATAGCACTTATAACATCAAAAACGCAAAATTCATAATCCTACCTAACACTCCATCTACAAAATCTACAAAATTTGAAAGTAACTTAACTATGTCCAATACCACCATGTCTAAGAAAATCGGAGATATAATTCGGAATAAAAATGATGTCACGATTTATCAGATTATGTACTTGCAATGTGAATACACTTACAATGGAGATAAGGTTTGGAGGTTTAATAGCCCGCATCTGTGAACGGAAAAGGAACCTACATTGGGACAACCACTTAAACTCACTTGTAATACGCAAAAAGAACAAGAATAGCCATCATTTGATTGTACAAATGTCACTCTAATTAAAAAAAGAACATAATTCTTTACTTCGAAAATACTTCGAGAGAGCCTTGATAAAAAAAAGTTTTGCTTCACGCGTTTATTGGGTTTGAAGTTCGCTCCAGACGTCAAGCGAAGTTCATTTGTTTGTATTGTTTTACGGTATATCAATGGGTCATTTAATGCCGACAACATTTTTCCTGGTAATATTTTTGTTTTGTCAAAAACCTATATCTAGTAATATTTTTTTCCTCCAAAATGTATAGCTGGTAATATTATTTAAAAAAATGTATTGCTTGTAATATTTTTTTCCAAAATGTATTGCTGGTAATAGTTTTTTCTTCAAAAATTAAATTTCTGGTAATAATTTTTTACAAAGTATTTCTGGTATTAAAACCTATTTTTACACTTTCATAATTCTTTTTACCTCAGTTTGGGGGTTAACTATTTGCCCATAGCTGGGACCCTAACGGGTGCTACCACTCCAGGTCAGGGTGGACCTGGGAACACCAGCAAATAAGAGGTGGTTTCACGCTTCTCAAAGCCTCCTGATCAGAGGCCTTGCTGTTGGACGTAGTTTATCGTCTTACCCAGGATGCGGATGTAGTTTATCGTCTTACCCAGGACGGCGAAGTTCATTTATACGATCCATTGTTAAAGATGCTGTAAAATTCGCCAGCTCATTTTACCGCTTCCAGTAAGTAGTTGACTCTTTCTGGTAAGTTTTGTATTTACAAGAGTCATATTGATTGAGTCTGAAGCTGTTTATGAACCCTCGTGAGGGATGATCTATTTCCCATCCTGCAGCTTCTATCCTACAAACGCTACATCACGCCATTTTTATGAAACGTATTCGAACGAACTCTATTCTTTAATCCCATCTATCTATCTTATTCACGCTATTCTTATCTATCTATCTATCTATCTATCTATCTATCTATCTATCTATCTATCTATTCGCCTCAATACTTTCATATCTATATCAATCTGATCATATCTACAATTGTTCACATGTGTCTCAATATATTCATATCTATGTATCTATATCCATCTGTTTATAACTATGTATCAGTATCTATCTATCTATCTATCTATCTATCTATCTATCTATCTATCTATCTATCTATGCGTCTCAATATTTTCATATCTACCTCGATCTGTTTGTATGTATATTTATCTCATCCAGATCGTATCTAAATAAATTCTTCATATCTATCCATCTCAGTATATTATCTATGTATCTATCGCCATCTGTTCATAACTATGAATCTGTCGCGATCTGTTCATATCTATCTATCTATCTATCTATCTATCTATCTATCTATCTATCTATCTAAATATTTACATATCTCCATCTGCTCGTATATATCTATCTCAGTCTGATCATACCTACAATAATTTATTCCCATCTATCTATCTATCTATCTATGAATGCTCGACTGATGCTTCCTGTCTTGGTCTTTATTTTTATATTAAATTTTTGACTAGTCTTTACTTCACTTACTTTCTGTGTTTTATCTGAAGCTTTCTCGGTTAAATAATCTCCGATTAGATTTCAAACTGATCACTAGAACCTCTTAAAAAACATCCATCAATAAAATGAACAATGGAATACACGAAGACCGATTTTTTCACCATTCTTTACCCTGACATGTGGCATACAATCTTCGATAGGCCAGAATGATGGAGCAAAAGCTCAGTAGCCAATGTTCGAATACATTCTCACGGGTTCAGACATCGGCAAGCAGAGGTGAAGTGATGTTTTAAGGTGGGCTTATTGATTGTGAAGCGATGGGGACACAGCGAGTTCTTGATGACGTTTAGACGATTTTTGAAGGCACACGTAAAGCCTTTGTTAAAGAAGAAAACCGGCTCTTTTAGAAAGATGACGTTTATGCCCGACAACGCCCCATTAGATACGAGATAGAAAATTAATCGGCGCCAATACCGAATAGGGTTCAAAGAGATTCAAATTTTAAAGAAATCTTAACTTTTTAAGTTAAAAAAAGGAGATACATATCTCGATTAAAAAAGGCGATGCAGATCTAAATTAAATAAATATAAATACTATCGAAAGGTTTGTAATGTATTGACACACCATATCACAAACCAGGAAAAAATAAAAATGTTATTCACTTGTCAAAATTTATGCGTTACAATGACGTCACGCATGAGGCGAAATATTAACGAAAATAACCTAAAAAATACCTATCAATTTGTTGTGGAGTAATTTCACAGTGGAGGATTGTATTTGTACTAAGTCGGTCCTAAAATAGGTTCGACGTACAAAACGTTAGGAACTTCATATAATAGGTATGATGCAGAGAAAATCTAGTTGTGGTCGCTGATACTTTAGTATCCAACTAACGGTCGTCCGGCACCAACTCACTGAGCGACTTAGCGACTGACACGTTACTATTACTACTACTACTTATTATAGGTGGGAGAGTCTATTAACTATAGAATAGGTGTGTTCCACTATAACACAATTTAAATACATTTCAAATCGTTATCCCCTGTCATCCACACACACACACACACATCTATCTATCTATCTATATATATATATATATCTAGATTCCTATCTATCTATATATATCTAGATTTCTATCTATCTATCTATCTATCTATCTATCTATATATATATATATATATATATATATATATATATATATATATATATAGATAGATAGATAGATAGATAGATAGATACCGGGTATAGTAGCAACATTCTCCAATTGTTAGATTAAACTCTAAACCATTGGATCTTAGAAATGATTAAAGATATCTTACTGGAATTCTCCGAGGTTTTTATTATACTGTCAATAACCGTCAATTAGTCCAGTGATTTTTAGATATTTTGTGGCATGGATAATTATGCTGCTACACGATTTGGACATTTTGCTGTTACACTCAGTCTATAACTGCATTTACAACCAAGGCTCAAAGCTAAACGACGTTCTTATATTTACTGAGCTCAGTTTGATTTGGCACAAGGTTTTTCCTACTTCAGTGCCCTACGGTAGACGTCCTCAGTGCCCATATATATATGTGTGTGTGTGTGTGTGTGTGTGTGTGTGTGTGTGTGTGTGTGTGTGTGTGTACGTGCACGATCGTGTGTGTGTCTACAGAATGTCAACATATATAAATGCAAACCCTTCCTTATAGTCATATGCTTTCGTTCAGTATTCTTGTAGTGTTCGTATATCTGATTCTATTACGTTCCGTGCAGCCACAGGAATATCGAATGTCCACTGTGGGTATTGTTGCAATCAGCAACACGCTTATCTTTTTCCTAATGCTTTTTACAGATTCATCCGCCATTGCATCATGGGAAAACTTGGCTTGGGCTTCTTTAATTAGCCTCACTTTCTCTTTCAAACACTTTTATCCTTTTCTTTTCTCAATGTTCTTTTTCTTTTTTTATCGCTTTAAAAAAGACTTGGAAACACCCGCACTCTTTTTTTCTTTCTTACTTTCTTTCTTTTTTTTTTCCCCCTTTATTCTGTTCATTTTATTTTCCTTTCCTTCTTTTTTTTAAAGGTGGGGCTATTATTTTTGCTCTCTTCGTTCTTTCTCTACTTGGTTGATTCTGTTCTTTCATCTTTCTTCCTTACTTTCTTTCTTTCTTTCTTTCTTTCTTTCTTTCTTTCTTTCTTTTCGTTTTGCTCTTTTTTGTTCGGTTGCTTTCTTCGTTTTGGCTCTTTCTTTCTTTCTTTTATTTTGTTCTGTTTTTATTCTTTAACTTCTTCGTTCTTTCTTTCTTTCTTTCTTTCTTTCTTTCTGTTGTTTGTTTGTTCCTTTCGTTATTTATTCTGTTTTTATTCTTTCTTTCTTTCTTTCTTTCTTTTCTTTCTTTCTTTTCTTTCTTTCATTTCTTTTCTTTTCTTTTCTTTTGTTCTGTCGTTTGTTTCTTTCTTTTCTTTTCTTCTTTCCCTTCTTCGTTCGTTCGTTCCTTTTTCTTTCTGTTTTACTTCCTTTCTTTTTTTGCTTGGTTTGCTCCTGTTCTTTCTTTCGTTTTTTCTTTCTTTGCTTTTTTTTGTTGTTTTTTTTTTACTTCTTCACCTTCTTAGATTTTTCTTTCTTTCTTTCTTTCTTTCTTTCTTTCTTTTCGTTTTGCTCTTTTTTGTTCGGTTGCTTTCTTTGTTTTGGCTCTTTCTTTCTTATTCTTTCTTTCTTTTATTTTGTTCTGTGTTTATTCGTTCTTTCTTTCTTTCTTTCTATCTTTCTTTCTGTTGTTTGTTTCTTCCTTTCGTTATTTATTCTGTTTTTATTCTTTTTTTCTTTCTTTCTTTCTTTCTTTCTTATGTGCTGGTGGTGTAATGGATCAACCTTCTTTATGAAAATGTCTCCGTAA